CATTACCACCTCCCCCCCCCACCATTTACCCCTCTACCTCCAACAATCTCCACGTCCACAAATCCGGCTCCAACATATCCTCCTCCATCATCTCCGCCTCCATTATCTCTGCCCTATCTCCTGCACTATCTCCACCTCCACTGCCTCGACCTCCACTTCAACCACCTTCTGCCTCCACCACCATTACCTCTACCTCCATCTCTATTATCTTGTCCTCCATCTGCGCCTTTGTCACCTCCTTCCCCTTCCATCACCAACAATCTCTGCCTCTACCACCAACAATGTCTGCCTTCATCAGTCTCAGCCTCTACCTCCACATCCATCATCTCTACCTTCGCCTCCAACTCCATCTGCTCTTCCCTCCAACTTCAGCTCCTCTACCTTCACCACTTTCGTCGCCATCACTACTTCTGCCTCCTCCACCACTTCCATCTCTTTTGCCTCCACTACGTCCATCTCCACCACCTCAATCACCTTCAACCCCTTCTCCTCCAGACCGGGAGAAGTGTTTCAGTGTATCAACTGATGTCATTGCAGTGCCGCTGACCGGGAGGGCCTTGGTTCGAATCCTGACAGTGGCAAGATTTTTGATACTAGCTTGTTATCAGCTAGACTGAATTCAATCGCTGTCTGAAGGAGAATTCTTGAGGGCAACTGCTCTGATCTGTAGTTTTCCGTGGTTTCTCAGAGCAACACTCACACGCACTACACTACCACACATGTCGAAAGTCTTGAGCTTGTCCCAGCAAGGTGCAACCTGGAGAGGGGAAATCCTCACAAGTAGTTGTGTAAGTTGGTGCTGGATCTCGCCATCCAGCAGGGGTAGACCGCTACCTCTTGCAATGAAATGCACTAGATGTGGGAACTTTGTCCTTTCTATTTCTAAGGGGTTTCCAAATTCAATGAATCCTTCATGTTCACTGACAAACTATTTATATTTTTCTTGTAATAAATAGTTTTAGCGTTAATTAGCTTCAGACTTGGAATTTGTTCATGTGTAGATTATACTTATTTTTAATTGTAGAATTAAGTGGATTAGGTTTTTATTTTTTATGTATTTTATTTATACAGATTATTTATTTGGGACACTTAATTATAATATATTCTACATTATCAAAGCATGCTTATTATATTAATTTAGTGTAGTAATGTAGCATAGTAATTTAGTATTATAAACAATTTAAGAATATATACTAATTAAGTGTCCCAAAGAAAATATAGACACACACACAAATAATTGTTCACAATTTGTTCACAATCAAGAAAACCTGTATTTCACAACACTCAAACTTCAAACTTCATTAAAATAATGAAATAGCAATAAACAATTCCTTCACACCATGTTGTTGCCAACTCAAAACGATTCCACACAAACTTGTGCATCAACCCAATACATTAATGAAAATGTCAGTTGGTAGTGTTATAAAAATATTTTTTTAATGTTCTTTCTTGTAGTGGAAAAATTGGAAATTCTGTGTTGTTTGGTCAACCAGATATTAACGTATGCCAGTGTGCGAGATAAAGTGGACGAACGTTGTGAACAAGCTAGACAAGCAAAAGTTAGTGTCAGAGCATTGCAGGTAGCGGAAATAAAGCTACAAAAAGAAGCAACTGCTAAAAGGTGCTGTTACTTGTATATATTCAATTTTTGTTGTGTTCAACTTTAATTCCTTAATTTTAATCTTCTTAGTTCCTTTAATTATCTTTTGTACTTGCCATTAATGGTTGCTGTTTATATTCAGAATTCAAGAAAAGAAAGATGCCAAGCTTTCACTTGCAAAGGGTTCTCCTCTGGCTTCTTCTGATCAAGCACTGTATGAGAAACAAAAAATTGAGAAGGAAATGAATAAGTTAAAAGTAGAACTGCAGAAAAAGAGTACAAAAGTTCTACCTCTGGCAATGAGTGGCCAATTACTACCTCTTGGTAGTGATAGAGCACATCGGAAGTACTGGCTATTTTCATCTCTCCCCGGTCTGTTTGTGGAGTACAGTCCTTATGAAATAGGTCCATGTTTACCACAACCTACTCCACGAGCACTTGATCTATCAGATACTTTGACTCACGTGAGAAAACTATTTGAAGAAGAAAGTCATAACAGTAGTGATAAAGAAAATGATTCAAGTGATCGTGATGTCTCAAAGCCACAGAGTGCTTCAGTAAAGAAAATGCTTGTTGAACAGAACAATTCTGTTGAAACATTGAATATTAGTAGACCAAACGAAAAAGATGATACACCAACAGATGCAGAAAATGTTAATAATGGAGAACTGCTTTTATGTACCGCATCTAATAGTTGTCCTGTGCATTGTCCTCGTGTATCAACAAGCCATTGGTATTTCTTTACTAAACAGGAAGATATAACTGCTCTTTTAGAGTCTCTGAATGACCGAGGCATTCGAGAAAGTGCTTTGCTTCGTGTGCTGAAGCAGGAGGAACAAAGAATTGTAGAATGTGTGTCTCAGTGTCCAGTCCACAAGTTAAATCCTGAAAAGGTGAGGTATTTTTAAGTTGTAGATATGGGGAGACAAGCTTCATTTAAACCCTTGTCAAAATCACTTGTTTCTGAACGTGTGCTAAAAAACTGTGAATCAGTAAATTTTGAAATTAATTGTACATATACTACAGATAAAGTTCTTGAAAATATCATGCTGTTTCATTATTTTTCATTAACTACTATTAGCTACAAGTACCTGACAGTTTCGTTTAAAATCAATCTAAACAGTTAAAATAAATCTCCATTTTTACCAAACTATACAAAACAAGCTTGAAATTTAACAGAAATACATTCATATGTTACCAGTTTCAGTTTGCTGAAGGTGAACAGAGAAAGTCTACACGCCAGCATTCAGGTTATAAATTTGATTCTGTAAAATCAAAGTTCCCACCAGATACACCTATTAGCTATATAATGGAATGGACTTTGCGAGAAAACATTTTGGCTTTGGAAAACCGAATAATGCTTGGTCGTGTGGGTTCATTGAAGGTAAGCATGTACATTGTTTAACTGGTTCATTATTGATAAGGAAAAAAATATTTTATGCACTCTAATATTCATTTCCGTAATAGCCTCACATTACATCTATTTCCTCTATTATTCTCATATTAACAACTATTCATGTCAGTTACAGCTACTGCACTCCAAATGCCATAACTTAATTATCCTTGATAATAGTGATTGGCAAAGTTGATTATATTTATTCCTAGTAAAATAGTAACTGCTATGTTTGTCTATACAATTGTATAATGATAGGGGTCATTGATGATCTGGGTGTTATAAAACAACCAAAACCTTTTCTAAATAAATTTAAAAAAAGTTGATTATGAGTGTGAATAATACTTAACATGATTTTATTATTAACATATTCTCAGTGTGTATATTTTATATAAGAAGGGTTTGCTAATAGGATGGTGAAACAGTCTACTGTACTGTTTAAAATGGTAGTAACAGGCCTTGTATAAATACTTGAGAGATGTACTAAAAGAAATTGTGTGCATGTTTTCTTAAATTCTGGAATCCATACCCTTACCCATTTACAAATTGAATTATGAATACAGATGGAAATGAGTCTTCTTGGCGAAAAATTGATAAGAAAATATTCACTCTGGTTAATAAAAACTATTTGGAAAGGCAAATCAGCTATAGATTTGAACTAGTATCCTTCGTTCTGTTCTCCATGAAGGAATCTACTCCCTAACATGAGAACACAGAGAACAATAATTTGAATAATATTTTTTTTCCATTGAATTCTAGAATACTTTATTTGTAGTTTCAGAAAACTGAAAAGGAACTCATTATAGTCCTGAATGGCTGATTCTATCCATTTTGCCAATCTATGCAAGAGGTTGTTCATAGTAGATCTAGGATCCTCATATTATTTGAAAGACATACATTTCTGGTATATCTTCAACAGCCAGCTGCTCAACAGATGTGGAGATTTGTACCAGTAGTAACTTCATTGTTGCTAAGAAGGCTGACATTTAATTTTTATCCATATAATTAAATTCTTCTCAAATGACACAACCAGGATTTTTCTATAGGGTGCTATATGTGTTGTGTCCTGCCGACTTGTTTTCTGTGAAATATGTCTCATTGAAATATGAACAAAATCATTGGTTGTAAAATACTTTTGAAAACAATTTTATTTTTTTTAATTTCACTAAATTAACGATGCCTTGGAACCTTGTCATTTGTTAATGTCCTAATATTCTATTGGGAAATGAAAAATTGTACATAAATTCATTGAAAAATAACATTCTATATTTAGATAAAAAAAAATTATTAAAATTTATACAACAAGATAGTGTGACGTCATGGATACTCACAGCGACCACAGACACAGAGCTTTCGTATAACAAATATATTTATTAACAAGAAAACAAAACAAATATATACACTTAATAATCACTGTAAACCCTAGCTCTGATAGACCTACTATCCCCTGATCGCGGGAGCGATCCAAAACCCGATTGAAGATGGTTTTGATTGTGGCATTCGCCACTCCTACTTTTGAAGCGCGCACAAAGCCTAGCTTCCGTGACCGGATGTCACGCTGGGACACAAAGTCCGTTCTGGCGCACCAACGGCTGGTTTGCCTCGATCGCAGGAGCGATCTTATCCGATTGAGAATCGGCGTGAATCGTGGCACTCAACCACTCTTCACCTCGGAGCACGCACACAGCATCGCTCCCCCGTGACCGCAGTCACCCAAGGACATAAAGTCCGCAGGCTTCGTCAACTAATGACTCCAGCCTCGCGAGCCTGGCTCGCATATGCACCGTCTTGGCGCAAAGTTTTGTGCACACGCACGAGGTTCTCCCACCGTCTCCAGAACCTCCTTACTGGCTCCGTACACGCTGTTATATAGGCGAGGCCCACGTGACCTCCTACGTCACGCCACCCCCTCGCTTGTTATAACAGTGAAAAGCTGCTATAAGCCGGAAGACACCCAAAGCCTTGTGTCTCCCGTCTCCGCGTTCTTCCCTTTACGGAAAAACCCTACTTCCTGTGGCTAGTCTAATCCTCTCCCAAGCGTCCCCAAATAGATGCCATGAGGCACGCTGGCTAATACGTTACAATAGGTTTCTAAGTTTTTCTGAAAAACTAGTTCATTAATGAAATAATTTTGTATAAAAAACAATGTATACACTGAGTAAAGAATATGACTGGTTAGTTTATTTTATGCATTGGTAAAATTTATTGCAAAATATATTTCTAATTTTTTTTTCTGAGAACTTGGTGTGCCTGTCTATTAACATAGTTTTATTAATTGAAACTGATATCTCCAAAATTTGTCAAAAATTGCTCTAAATGTGCAGATTCTTAAAGATACATGATTATTTTCAAGTAACAATTAGCAAAAAAAAAACCAACAACAACAACCACTACAATAACGACTACAACAACATACAAATTCAGGCTCTGCTTATGAAGAATTTTTCATTTATCCTAAATTTGAAATAAATTTTTATTTTTTGATTCTTTCAAACTTTTCTTTCTTCTGTTCCAGGGTGAAAATAAGCTAGTTTTTATTCTCTCAGTTGTTGACAAAAAAAATTTATTTTTTTGCAGGTTCGCAATAGAATGGCATGGCGTAAAGCAATTGAAAATGGACGGTATGATAAACAAAGTGAGAAGCTTGTTTGGGGATTTAGAATGCGAAACAAGGTGAGGGTTAACAAGAAAGAACCTGTGTTAATTTTTTTAATAAAAATTATCTGATCAACAATACATCACATTCTAAGATAAATAGTTATTAATAAAAGTGTGATGCTTCTTTACAACAATAATTATTGCAGCCGGATAATATTTCTTTGATCATCTTTGCCATATCACATTATTATTATTAAAATTTATAATGTAATTATTCCATATGTAAAATTGTTTACATAATTATACTCTCTCAAAATAATGTATTATTGTGTAATGCTCCCTAAGTTCAATGTATTTAGTTCCTTGGAAAGTGTCCTATTTTGGGGAGATTTTCAAGATTCATGGTAATGTATGGTAAGAGGAACATTTTAATTTTTTTAAATGATGTTCATAATTCTGCTTAACCTTTTTGATCATATTGTTCTTGGAAAAGTTGTTCAATATACAAGTGCTGTGTCCTGAACATATACATGCTTTGGACACCAGCAAATAATTTTTAAATGTTTCTTAAAATGTAAATTCAGTTTTCACTGCACAAGACTAAATTATGGAACAAATAATTTACATTAGCACTGTTGTTGAAAATAACTTTTTATTTAGGAAATCCACTTTTTAAGTGAAGTTTTTTCACCTGCAATGGAGAGATCGTAAAAAGGGAATACAAAGAAAATTAATTGGGGAGTGGTTCAAAAGCAGTTGTAAACAAAATAATTTTTTTAATAACCAGTAGTATTGCTGTAACGTTTTTACTTGTCTTAGTAAATAGCTGGCAGGCATCACAAAGGGGAGGCTGGTGGCCTATACCCTTAGCCCAGGTATTGCAGTACTGAGACTATTGTAGCCACTCCAGTGTAATTCCTATTTGTTTCTAAACTCTTCACACTGCTCATACATTGCTTGGCAGAATTTGTTTATCTTTATTTTGCAAAAATTAATCTAAAAATATTACTACAGTAAAACCCTGTTTTTATGTTCCCGCATTTTACGTTTTCCTGCCTTTTACTTTATTTTTCATTGGTCCCGTCGTAAAGCTTATATTCACAATGCATTCTCTTCCTGTGATTTACAAGTTAATATTAAGAGTGCTTATCTTTTTTACTTCCTTGTATACGCACGTATTATACCAAGCACAGAGAAAGTCATGTTACGCTAGACCAAAAAACGGCGATTTTTTACCAGAAAATCTCATACTGATACAGAAAAAGTGGATAAATCCTGTTCCAATATGTAGTTAATTACTACAAATGTATGTAACAAACTAGCAGAAGCCCCGCATTCATTCTGGTCAATCTGGGAATATCAATTTTGGAGAAAATCGGCCTACTGTTTAGGTGCTAGCATTGACCACCACTCGACAAACAAATGTTTTGCCATCAGTTGATTTTGCGGTTTCAGGGGGATTCAGGCCGCACCATGTGTTCAGAAGTTACTGTGTATAGGAATATGATTTATCCACTTTTTCATTACCAGGGTCCGCCAATAGATTTTCTGACAAAACTCACTGCTTCCGTAGCACAATTTTACTTTCTCTTCTTGTAAAGGGCGAGAAAGGAAAAACAACTCCCAATGCAGTAAATAATGAAAGTACTTGCCTAGCCTAATGTTTTTCAACTTTCCTGTATTTTACACTTTTCATCTGTCCCCTGAAAAGTTTAAAAAAGGTTTTTTCTACTGTAAGTTGAGAATTGTTTATTTTATTTCTGATCTAGAAATGGGAATTTAAAAAGGTCTATGGCTCTATTTACATTACCAGAGTAGGTACAAATATGTACTATTGTGAAAAGTCATCACGTCAATTGCATTGAAATTGTCTATTATGAAGCAAAATCCATATTTTGATATTGTGGACCATTTAAGAATTATATGAAGTGGGAGTTCAGGAATTCAGATACTCTTGGACTCCACCATGCTTGCATATGAATGTTGGATTGTGTGGGTGTTCTTCTTTTTTTCTTCTTATCCGTAATTTAGTGAAAACATATGTTGATTCATATTTTAGATTTTCATTAGGATGCAATTGTAGTTGTGATTGATATTAAGACCTATAATATGCAAAAAGCTAGTCAGAAAGTATTCTTACTAGCTTTCTGCCTATTATAGGTCTGGTTAGTTAGAAGTTGGAGGAGTGGGACACATACTGATTGTGTAATGTACTCCAAAATAATAGTAATTGTCATTAAATTTTTCATCCAGAAACAAGAGAAGAAAGTTGATAAAAACACTGAAGAAGAGGACCAGAAAGGAGAGTCTTCTGAACAGGATGTGGTAATGGAAAAGGTGGAGTTATCCAAACGGGATGAAGAGGAAGAGGCGGTGGTGACCATAAAACAAGATAAGGACAATGATAAAATGGTATGTGTTAAATTTATTGATTGAATATGTAGTACTATATTTTTAAAGAAGAAAAAGAGTGAAAATGATGTTATGGAAAATGTTGAATATTGTTGACTTTGGGGTGGTTTAATTAATCCAGAGTTTAAAAAGCTCCCCAATTTATACAATTTGGCTGCTTTATTTCTCGGTTAATTTTTCTTTCTGAACAAATGTATTAGTTTCTTTCGTAAATAATAAACATTTTAAATGTTTTGGAGTGTTTCTGTGCTTCAGCAATGCAAATTGTTTCTAGAAATCATTTTTTCAAACATTTGTGTGCTTTTTGTGGCTTAGCCATTCAGAATATCCAAGTAATTAGACAAAATGTGCTTTAAATTGTCTTATGGGCTTATTTTTTAATTGCCAACATTTCGTCCTCAGACATCGTGTATAATAAATTTTATTGTTTAGGTTTGTACCTTTATAACATTCATGACACCACAAAACTATTGACTGTGATACAGCAGGCATTTTAGAAGGAGTATCCCAATTTTCTATAACTTTCTACTTTTTATAACAATATCTCCCTTCATGTTAGACTGTACCGTTGGAAATACACATGTAATCATCACAATATGTTTGCATTCATAGTGAGAGCTGAGAAATAATCAGTTTCTTTATTTACATGTATTTAACAACAGGGTGACCACTTTCTGGAAAACACACGGAACTTCAATTTCAGCAAAAATACAGGGGAAAACACAGAGGGAAAAGAACTCGCTATAAAAAAATTGATTGTCGATGTAGAATTCAAGCTAACCATTATTTCCATTAGATGGAATTAATAATTTATGATAAAATTATTTATAAGAAATTTTATTAATTATGAGAATCATTTTTAAATAACTATTTTTATGTAAATTACGTCATTTTAAGTCATAAACTACCCAATTACACGATATTCTATAAAACAGTCTAATGCACGGTTGTTCAACTGTCGACCTGCTGCATTAGCCAATTAGTGAAAAGTGAAAGTCTCTTGCATGATGAGAACATTGCGCACCTAGAGCATATGACCCATTTGGCTCAACACCCCCTTCAATGTAAACATAGGTTAAGTTTAGATTTAGTACAGAATTTTTTCTAGTAAATCCAGAAATTCAAAATCATCCTAATGTGTTTCACACCGTAGTGCTTGGTAAGGCTCCACTCCTCCCTAAGTCAACATTATGGGGAAGTCTGTTGTGGCATGCCCGAGTAATGAAAGTATGGCCCGCAAGCATGCTAAAGGTTTTAGTTGTGGCGCTTGTGGCCTTGCAAGTTGGACACCCCTGGTCTAATGTATTAGAAAATTCTCACTTAGTATAAACTATAATATTGCAAGCCCACGAAACATTAGGCATGTAAGAAGAAAAGACACAGCCAATGATATTAAATTTCTTATACATTGTGTTTGTGAAGTTTGTGCCATGTGGTTTGTTATAGGATCTACGCATGCACACATTAGGGCTACTGGCAATCAATAGACTACTTTAAACTGCAGGTGGAGAAAAAATGCTATCATAGTCGATCGGGACTTGATTTTCTAAGCTCATGGGGCCAGAGCTAAGCAGACTATTGAAGATCGAAAGCGACTGGAAACGGAATTATAGAAATGGAGTCGTTATGAGAGAGAGCAGAAGAAGAGAAAGGCAGCGGAATTGATAGTACTAAATAAAGAAACTAATGGTGCTACAGAATGGCACAGACTTTCTAGTTTGTTTTCTACGTTCTTTGATCTGGACTATCCTCAGTCTCTTAGCCAGCTGCAATTTAGAGCCACCCAAAGCACGTTTTTGAAATTTCTCAGTTTTTTGGTTTCATAATAGAATCATAATATTTAAGAATATTGTAGAAGAGTAAAACCTCTTCTTTTAATCAAAATTTCATGACTAATTGAGAGCTGTTTACAAGAAAATGGCATTTAAACATAACTGTAAAACTGATGTGTGTGTGTGTGCGTGCGTGCGTGTGTGTGCATGCGATGTGTGTGTGCGTGCGTGTGATGTGTGATGTGATGTGATGTGTGTGTGCTCATTTTAACAGAATAGTTTTGAGTTTTCGATAAACATTATAAGACATCATTCTCATATTCTTGTAAATGCAATAATGTGAAGAAATCACTACAAATATAAATATTAACATGAGGAGCTAGTCATAAAAATTAAATATTTTTAATTTTTTTTAAAAATTAAGTACAGAGGAAAATGGCGTTTATGACATCTCGTCAAGTAATTTAACACTGCCGTTATCAAATGTTTAAAGAAAAAATATGTGGAACTGTTTTTGAGAATTTTTTTTACGTTAAAATTGCACATATTGCACGCAATATTGTGCACAAACTACTAAAATTGTCTAAAAAAATTTAATTAAAAATTAATTTAAAAAAATTGGTGTGAAACATTTGCAATTTTTTTTCTTATTAACTATTTCTTATTAATATATATATATATATATATATATATATATTAATTTGAGATCTTAGTGTAAAGGAAACGTGATACAATGGTGCAGGTCTCATATTCATTGAAATGCCTGATTTTTGAATATTCAAATACATTTTTAAAATGTTGGCAACTTCCTACAACTACCACTGTGAAGATATAATTTTTTCTTCACGAAGTGTGTGCATCAAAAACCTCTTCAAAGAAGGTGATGTATTTTTTCAAAATATGAGTATTGTTTGGGTAATTAGGTGACACAGTTGCCAACTCCGAAGTCAGTGAGGTTCGTGAACGTAATTCCAGGCAGATGGATGCTTCGTAAATTGGAATTTGTATATTATTTCGTATTTCTTTGTTTGTGTCTTACATTCGAGCTTTTGTTATTCATTTACAAATTAATCTTTTAGAAATTATTTATACCTGTTTGAAATATATGAAACAAAAAGTGCTAGCCCTCAAGGAATATTAGACGGGAATGCAACATTGACTTGGCAGCTAATTTCTGTAAATTACGATTTATTATTGGGACATGAATTACCTGTATGAAAAGTAGTTATAATTGTCAAATTTGTGTTGATATTGGCTTCAAAATATATAGTTTTTGCACTAAATGTACAATTTGTAATGAGTTTTACAAAAAATGACTGAGATGTGTTAACTCAGAGAGAAGTTGCGGTTTCAATAATATTACGTGACTATTTCTAAAGGTGAGAGTATATATTCTTTAGTACCAGTAGTTTCTAAATTAACCAACTGGATATCTGCCCTTTTTCATTTTTTGTTATTAGCAACTTTAATATAAAATTTAAAGGTTAACTCGTATCAAATGTGACTTCAAGATCCTTAAAGTAGCCCACTCATTGCAAATCTTTATTATTTAACGTATAATTCAAATTGATTTTATATTTCCTATAAAATGATTAGACCTTATGTTTAACATGGTTTGACACTGTTTTTTTTCTTAACATCTACTACCAAATTCATCAAGATTTCTCTATAAAGTCAAACAATCCTTAATACTTTTTATGGGGAGGAATAATTTCATATCATTCACGTATGCAAGTAAAAACAGTATCAAGTTATCTCCAGCATTATTAACGGTAATTGCAAAATGCAAAGGTCCCTGGTTAGAACCCTGGGGCACACCAGACGATTTATAGGGCCATGATTGATACTCAGCATGACACACAACGATGGATCTTTGAATCAATTTTATGTAATTAGACTGTAGATTCAATCTACTAACTTAATCAACAAAGATATCATGACTCAAAAGTATCAAGTGCCTTGGAAAGGTCAGTAAATATTACATCTACTTGAGGGTGAACTTCTAGACTCTGTATCAAACATTGAAAAATTGTTTAGAGGTTAGAAACAGACAATCTGCCTTGGATGAAACCATACTGAAAGACTGCAATTATAGGCTTAAATGCGTTGTAAAATATGTCATAAATATGATATTCCAGTATCTCCAAGAAATTAGATAGCAAGGAAATAGGGTTTTAGTTCTCAATCTGGGCAGGGTTACCACTCTTTAGAACCGGAAAGACTCTTGCTTTTTTCCATATATTTGGGGAAAAGCCAGTAGAGATGATATTATTATAAATAATCAAAAATGGTTGAAGAAGAGCCAGATAATATTTTTTTAATAAAACTGCTGGAATGTCATGTATTCCCAACATGAACATACTTGGCAAGTGTTTAGGTTTACTAATAATATATTCAATTGTAATATAATTGCATTTACCAAACGGAACTAATTCAGTACGTTCCACATGGAAAACCATGGCTGACGATGTATTTTTTAGCAAAGAACTCTGCAAATCTGTTAATATTGAGATTTTTGTTATGTTATATAGCTTAGATTTTAAGGTATTCGACTACTGCCTGATTTTCAAGTTGGAATATAATTCCAAATTTTTGAAGAATTACTATTGAGCTCTTGCTCAGCTTTATAACGATAGAGTAATTTTGTATGGCATCCTTCCTAAGATTTACAGTCATATTCCTCCAAACCAAAAAAAAAGAAAGGGAAAAAAAATACCCAACAACAACACAGGAATATGATTTATGTTGTTTGTGCAAATTGACCTTTTGTTTTACTAATTCAATTGTGTTTTGAATAAACCATACCGGATACCTTCTGGGATGAAAGACCATTTTTGGTATATTCTCATTTATAGTATGTATTGATTTGTAGAATTCATCATAAACATAATTTACATTGATAACAGTGCTAGAGCCAAATAATACTGACCAATCTACACTAAATAGCTAATGAGCAATCAAATGATAATTGGCTTTACCATAAACAAATCTTGTCAAATTAACAGATGGTAGCAACGGTTCATCAGGACTCACTGTATACGTAACATCTATTTTTAGAGGTGGATAGTATGGATCAATAGTAAAAATAGATGAGGTACTCATGGAGACAGCTGCATCCAGGTTGGTGAGAATGAGGTCGAGGACCCTATTTAGACTAGGTTATCATTTACTTGAGATTATAAAAATTATCAAATTGTCAAGAGATAGTAGTTGATCATCAATCATATGCAGCCATCTCACACCAATAAAGTTTGGAATATTAAAGTCCCCAAGAATATTTTGATTATAGAAATACTCATTTACAGTGGAATATACAATACCATAATAACTAATTTAATTGATGCATATTCTATACAAATTCCCATGAACTGAAACTGTGTTTCAGGAAACCAGTGAAAGTGAGCAACATTCTGAAGAAGAGGAGGGATCCGATGTTCACTATACATATTTAGTTACTTCCGACAGTTCTGAGAGTTCTGACGAGTCAGCAGTTGTTATTTATGAGAGCCCACCAACAACAACAATCTATGGTCTACCTGTGGTAAAAGCAGAAAAGATAGATGGAACTGAAGGTATTTCCTTCTTTCTTCCTCTATATTGCAGTATTTTTGTTGTAATAGGTATGGTGTAATATGTTATTAATGAGTGGTAGTCAAAGTAAGGACTTTCTGTCTTAACTAAATGATTACATTGGTGAGTATGAAAGAAATGCAATTAATACACTGATAGTTTTATGTAACTTTATATTTTATTTCTTCTAATAGTTCATTCTAGAAAGAAATATAAATCCATATTTCATCTGACAGAACCATGATGGTGCAAGATATGAACTGAATGAAAGTGAAATGAGTGACTCATTTTATTTCACTGAGATCTATTTCCCCAAAGTAAAATTGTTAAAAAATGGGAGAGCGGCTGTCTTATTGAGAATGGGTGAAAATATTTTAATTGAGAATGTTTTTAATTTCTTTGATAGTAGGGCATGAGCACTACTTCCTTTTTGACTGTAGCACTATGAGAAAAATCATTTAAGAGAAATTTAATTTAATCTGATATTTTTCCTTAATCCATTTGCATTATTTGGATATTTTTTTACCCAGTTGGGTATTTATATTCTGTTGGGTGCAGTTTTTGTGTTCCAAGTTTTTGAGGTTATCTTTGTTACTAGGAGCTCCTGTTTTATTCTTCTACGATACTTTGGTATGGATAATATTGTAACAGTGCAAAAGAGGCCATTTCTAGTCTAATCTAATCTTCCTCAGGCTTATTTCTTAACACTTTGTGGTTCTTCTGTGGAAAAAGATCAAAGAATCAGCAGACGACGGTCTTGGTTGGGATACCAAACTGGAAGGATATATTTTTAGTGGGAAATTTTAACAGTAGAGTTGGAAGGCATGCACAAGACGAAGTTGTAGGAAGTGACCAATAGAAATGGTGAATGACTTATAGAATTATGCGCCCAGAACAGTTTAAAAGTATTAAATGGGTTTTTCAAACACAAAAACATTCACAAATTCATTTGGTCTAGAGGATCGAGTAAAACTATAATAGATTAAGTTATCGGCAAACGTAACAACAAAACAAAGGTGAAAGGTGTTCGAATCTATAGAGGAGCTGAGTGCAACTCTGACCATTTCTTGTTGAAATCAAGTGTATTTTCCTTATGTAAACAAGACACAGCAATTGGAAATTTATGTATCCAGTACCATAAAGAAAAAAAAGAGTATAAAATGTGTTTGTTTGAAGATCCATCTATATTTTTCCTCTACAAGCTCAGGTTGAGTAAGAAACTGTTCAAAGTAAAAAAACAATTACTCAAGCACTACGATGGAATTGTAGATGCCGTACATTAAGCAGCTTAGGAGAGCCTCTGAGAAATAGAACATACTGGTGGGAATAGGTGACTCAATTCTTTGGCAGGGAAAGTGCAAGAAGAGAAAATTGCTTCATAATACATGGTTAAGCACCCAAGATATTGAAGACAGAACAGTATTGTCAAATTAATAGAGAAGTTAAACAAGAAGTAAGGAAAGCAAAAAAATGAAGCTTGGGAAAGAGTATGTGACAACGTAGAACAGAGTGTAGGCAATGCCAGATCAAAGAATGCATGGAAAATAATAAAGAACATCAGGCAAAATGAAAAGCAAAATTCAGTACTACAACCAATAAGTACAGATCAATTTAAAATATATTACAAAGAACTTTTGAAAGAAAATAGGATTGCATTTAGTAATACGATTACATAGAGCACGAGGAATCGGCTGATATGGAATATATTACAGTGAGAGAGACTGAAAAAACAATACAGAGATTGAAAAATGGAAAAGCAGTCGGTTCAGAATTGGTAAACATTGAATTGCTGAAGCATGGCCCCAGTTTATCATTGGATCTTCTTGCTCGACTGTACAATAGATGTTTAATGGGGGAAGAATTACCCAAGGACTTCAGGAAAGGATATATCTTTTAACATCTACAAAAGAGGTGAGAGAAAACAGTGTGCAAATTATAGAGGTGTAATTGTTCTTAGCAGCATTGGCTGAGTGTATGGGAAAATATTAAAAATCCTACTGGAAAGAAACCTCATTGATGTCGAGGAAAAGAGCAGCTTTCGGGGCACTCCTGTATTGATAACATGTTTAGTATTAGATAGGTTACCGGCAAACGTCTCAGACGTTGGCAGAAACTATTGTGGAAATGGCAACCAGCTACCCATCGACGAAGAGGAAGACCTAGACTTGCATGGGGAGAAGGAGTGGATGAGGCAATGGTGAAGAGGGGGTTGAGTAATTGCTGGGATTAAACCCATGAAATATGTGTTCCTAAGGTAGATATGTTTCCCAGAGCCTACCAGAGAGAACTCTTATTTCTGAAGGCTGCAAAATTATTGTTAAGTTCTTAAATCGATTTACAAGAGCACATGAATAGGATAAGAAATAGAAAACAAACGTAGTACTTAAAACGGCAATTTAGCCAGTATATATTATACTCGAGGAAGCTAGCACTTTAGGATGTTAAGATTATTGGAAGAACTGTAGGCAAACACTCATCTGTCATTCAGTCCACCATGAATCATGGTTGAAACCAGACATTCCGGATCAAATGATTCATATAGATGGCGATAATATGTTTCGTAGAGATAGAACAAGAAGGTGTGGGGGAGGAATACTGATATACGTAACATGGGAATTGAATGGAAATTTGAATATCTACTTATAGTTATCCCTCATTGAGATATTCGATGAGATTTTCTGGAATCGCTATGGCTGCAAATTAGGCTACATCATTTGAATTTATATATATTTCTACGTTATATCGACTTTCTTCACCATCACATCAAATTTCAGATGTACATGCTGCCCTTTTTGATATGCTTCGTCAGGCAAATGATTTGGAAGACTTTACTATTATCCTTGGAGACTTCAATTTTATGTCAAGTCACTGGCCCCAGCCCTGCTCTGATTACATCCCGCTTGGAAAAAGAGAATTTGTTAAAGTATACGAAGATTCTTGTTTCTCTCAGTTGGTAACTGGCAGAACTAGGGTTTGGGACAGACAGATCAGCAAAGCTTGATTTAATTATCACAAATGACAAATCAGCTTTATCTACTCCAGTCCCACAAAGTCCTGTCTGTAATAGTGATCATGTTGTTCTGTGCATTGATATGCAAATCGAATTTCGTGTTGCAGAATACTCTAACCAGAACCCTAATATACAAATTTTGAGGACTTGAAGAGGGACCTTTGACAGTTCCTCACTTTGGAACATGTTGAGGAACTGGAAAATGATTGGATGATACTTGAATCAGGAATTATCAACATCTTAGATGCTCACTCACGTATTCAAAAAGAAGTTTTGAACAAAAATAAATCATGGATTACTGAAAGGATATGACTGATTCACAAAAAGAAACGACTATAGACTAAATTTAAATCCACCAATTGTCAATCACAATATAGGAAATATAATGAGTTATGCAACACAATATCAAACAAGATTCGCAGTCTCAGGAGACATTATGAACAAAGTATTACCAAGGGTAGGCATCTGTACTTGTACATCCGCAAACAGATTTCTTTCAAAGTTTCTATCGTACATACCCTCTAGAATGAGAATGGGGAAATTGCTTAGAATCCAAGTAATGTTGTTGAGGTCTTTGCAGAAAGTTTTCAAAACTTCTACACATTGGAACCAAACGATTCTCTCCCGTCTGTATATTCCTCCTGAGGAAACATTGGAAGACATTCACTTACATGTTGCAGATGTTTACAATGTCCTCGTATCACTAGAGCCTAACTCTTCTGCTAGACCAAATGGTATCTCTCCCCTTGTAGTGAAAGAATACCCACAAGGACTTGCTCCAGCTCTATGTAAAATCTTCTGAGACTCCCTTGACTCCAGAGTATTGCCGACAGACTGGAAATCAGCTAAGCTTTATAATTACGCCAGTTTTCAAGAAAGGTAGTAAGCTAGAACCCACTTACTACAGGCTCATTAGATAGACCAGATCGATATGCAAAATCTTTGGTGAACAAGATACTTGAATTTAATTTGAGAACTGGACGCATGCCACCGTGCCAACACAGCATCTTACCAAGGAGATCTATAATTACAAACCTACTATCTACACTGCAAGACTGGTTTATGAATCTGGATAATGGAAACCCTACAGATATTATCTACTTTGACTTACCAAAGCTTTCGACAAGGTACCGCATCAAAGGTTGCTTCACACACATGCTTATTTTGGCATAAGGGGGGTGCTATTGCATTGGATACAGTCTTTCCTTGAGGATCGCCATTTTTGCGTGAGAATTGGAGAAAAGTCATCACTGAAGAGAATGAACAGAGCTGTTCCCCAGGGCTCAGTATTGGGACTGATTGTATACATCCTGTATGATAGCGACCTGCCGAACATGCTCTCCCACTTCAAGATATATGCTGATGACACCAAATTCTATGCTAACCCTCTGGTGAATCATCTCCACCTTCAAGAGGACTTGAGTAGTGTTTGTGAGTGGTCAAGAGTTTGGATGTTACCACTGAATGAAGCAAAATATATGGTCGTGCATATTGGAAGATTCAACCCAAATTGAAAATGCCAAGTAGGCGGAAGGAACTTGTCTGAAATCAAGGTCATGAAAGATCTAGGGATTATGACTCTTAAGGACCTCAAATGGGAAAACCACATGAGTAACATGGCAAAAAAGGCTAACAAGGCTATATCTACACTGCATAAAGTCTTTAACCCAATAAGAAGCAATGTATTCACCTCACTTTATAGAACCTACTTTCTCCCGATAGTTGGATTTGGCACCGTGATTTGGAATCCTTACTTTCTCAAAGACATAAATCTGCTAAGAGACAACGCCTCGAGATGTTTGAAACATTCAAGATTTTGCATGGGCATTACAACTACGATCTTAGTAGAATTTTTCAGCGCTATGAAAATCTACAATTACGAGGTCATAGTATGAAGCTCTTAAAATCTAGACATAATCTAATGCAGCACAAGAACTTCATAGGTAACTGAGTTGTCGACACCTGGAACATACTACCCCAGATCGTGGTGAT